GGGTTTGAATCCAACCTGTGGCCCTTTGCTGCATGTCATCCCCTCTCTCTCTCCCCCTCACGCTTGACTATCCTATCTATAAAGGCAAAATGACAAAAAAAAAAAAAACAGTTTTAAATTTCTATATCCAGCAGTCCTCACTCTGTTGAAATGTGAATATAAAGTTTATAGTAATTCAGCTTTTCAGACTAATAAAAGCAGATAACAGACCCAGTGGAGGGCTTATTTGATTTTTAGGAGGGTGGATTTAAACTCAAGAAAGTGAATGTGAGATTCACTCTATTTCAGTATCAGTAAACCCTGGTGAAAGTACTGACATGTGACATATGGCGCTGTGACACAACACTCTCAGAGAGCTGATTTAGGAAAGTTCTCAGAGCAACTTGAGCAAGGAAGGGACAGAAACTTTTACCCTAGTTGCTAGTGATGATGCTTTCTTTTAACAGATGTGATTGGTTGTCACAGACACACTCTTTTGTGAGCCTGCAAGGTGTGGACACCCAGTGGAAATGAAATGAACTGCTGACTGTGAAAGTGTTGTCATTGTTAGTGTGATCACTCTGCTGATGGAAGGTTGAGACAGACACAAGTCATCACTGCTGCACTGCTGAGTTTTTACAGTTTTCCAAATATCTTACGACTGTCATCATTTTATTTCTGGTGTTATAGTGTTAGGTGGGATATGTGTGTGTATCCCTAATGAGATCAACCACACATATTATCCCTGCACAATCTAATCTGTAGCATTTCATTTACTCACTGTCATCCAGTGTTTAGAGAATATCTTTCCAACCTCTTTGTGTTTCCACCATTTCCTTCTCTGCTTAAGAAACTCCTAAGCCTCTTAAAAGTCCTCCTCCCTGCTCCTAACAGTCTTTCATCTTAGGAGCTCTTTTAAGGTCTAAGATGCTCTGTGAATAACTTATCTTTATATGGACATAGTCTGAACTTTAAGGAAAAATTCTAAGAGATTGTCACAATTTTGAGAATTTTCTTAGGATTTCATCACTAGGAGCATCTCTTTGTACTAGGAAGCTTTGTGAATACAGCCCCAGGTTTAAATCTATTGCATCATACTAACTGCTTAAGTAATAGATCTTTTCAGAATACTAAAATTTAGAAACTCTGAAACATAATAGAGTGAATGAGCTGTGAGTACCCCCTTTACAGGGCTGGATATTGGTACACGGTAACTTTAAGATATCGACCAAAAATAACCCAGTACCAAGTAGTACTGACATGTCTCCAGTCAAGCAACAACTGCATTTAATCCTTTTTGTGCCGGAGTCTGATCCTATACCAGCAAACTGTCTGTTGCTGCTGTCTAAAGAGCTGTTTTCCTCCCGAAGCATGGTCAGTTCAACATCTCCCTGGTTAGCACAAGCTAACACATAGCAGCAGCTAACATCCAACACATGTTCCCGACAAACTCACCATCACACGAAATCAACTCACCTCATTCGTTAAACATGTTAAGTCATTAGTTAACATTAGCCATGTGATGCTAACAGATACATGCTAACAGATAGCCCTGTTACTGTGCATCTAAGGCCACACGGACACCAAAACATTAGAAAGTATGCCTTAAGGCCTACTACATGCCATTCTGTTTACATTATGGGTATCAATTGAAGTATTCTATTGGTATTGATATCACTTCAGGAGTAGCGCGCTGGTGCTGGTATCATAATTTTTTTAAACAATACCCAGCTGTATTTACAACTGTTCATGCCTTGCACACCCTGTTGAACACAACATAATAAGAAATATAATGAACTGAAAGCAGTACATTTAACACATGTGTTAAAGTTTCAGTCACACATGCAAAGGGAGCCTGACGAGGTCAACAGCAAGGCTAATGCTAACAAATTACGTTAAAAAATGTGTTAATTGTAAGTCAGTAATTGTAAGGCCTTTAAGAAGGACGAAAGCAAAGTATAAAGTCCAAGATGCCCTTGGAAAAATAAGTGTACTTTAAATTAAATGATAGCTCCACAAATATAGTACTGTATTTCCCTCCACTGTTAGTTTTTTTATCCTTAATAGGTGCAACTGAGATTAATTAGACTGAAATTTATACAGTGAAAGGTTTGTTTGTTAAAGACAAGCTCATTGACATCACACCATCACAGATTGGGCTCATTAGAAACATTTTGTTTTGGCTCACTCTGGCCTGTTTGATGATAAATGCATCTTCAGGCAACAATTATGCAATGCAAGAGTCATCATATTGCATTTTGTTTACTTAATGCACACAACAATGCAATGTTCTGACAGTTTTTAAAGCATGTCATGATTGTGTTGCAAAAGCACATTTATATGTATTTGAATAAGCAACACAATGACATAAAAATGACAATTACATGATATTCGTGCCTCCTCTGAGTTTCATGTGACCAAGCAGAAGTGTGATTGTGGATAACCCTGATTTATTCATCTACTCAGAGGTCATTCTCATCAGATGGGGGATGTATAGCTCTGGTGCACTGAGTTTAATAAGTTTAATTAAGATAAACTGCAGCCCTGCTCTCGGTGGATCAAATTAATATCAATGTGAGGATTATAAAGCTTTGGCTTTCTCAGGATCAGGAGGCTTTATCTCTGGAGATCAATGATCTTCCACTGTCTAAGGGTCACACATGCAGCCCTGGCACTGATCAGGAAAACTAGCAAGCATTCAATATTCAAAAGGTCACGAGCCTGGGCTCTTTTTCTGAAACCCTGATTTTACAGAAAAGTTTTAATTCAGCACAACCAGAGTCAGAAAATTAAAATTGGCCAAAAACAATGCCATGTCAAACGATACAAACTTTACGCTAATAGAGGACTAGAGAATGATAATATGATGAGTGTCTGCCCTCTAGTGGGTTTATGTGTAAAGTGCAAGCTGTGCCATGAATGACAGTGTCTCCTATGGCTGTTTCAAAAGCTGTATTATTACAAGTTTATTGTGCTCGATTTAAGAGTACATGCTTATTTGTGAATGTCAACTCATTTGACAGATTTTTGTGGACTTTAAGGGTGCAGTTTATCTTTAGCACCCAGTATAACACCTCCTTAAAGTTCCTTGAACCTCACTGTTGATGTTCAGAAACCCACATGGCGACTGTGAGAGTATAAAAAGAGGAGAAGGAGATAACAGATCAAACTGAAATCTCCAATTTTACGCTTTAAAGTTGGAGCACAAGATCTTGTCCTGCATCCACCGATGTAGATTTCAAGAGATACATTAATACAATATAATATTAGATATATATTATTCAGAATCCACCCCCTTTATTTTTACAAAACTAATTTACACCATGAATTGATAAAACAAAAATCTACAAATTATTGCGGTGGACCCACAAGCCCCATGTTTCATATTTGCCCCCATGTTGTGATGAAACCAATGCCCTTGTTTCTGCATTTGAAACCATCACCTTTTGTTGACTGAAAAGGCAGAAGTTAAGCTAGGCACCTGTATATGAGATGAGAGGAAATGTAAGTTTGTAATTGCTATGGCACAGATCACAGCCACTAAGAAAACATTATTTTTATCCATCTAAATATGTATGCAACCCAAATTATCTTTTTCTCAACACTAATATGCTGATCTACAGCTGCTTAAATTTTAAAAACAAACAAACAAACAAACAAACAAACAAACAAACAAGCTGCTCATATTAAAATAGTGTCAAAATAGACACTATGACACAGCGAGCCGTTCTGTCTCTATTTTGGTTTATATATTTCAACTTCAATCACACAAACCATGAGACACAAGAACACACCACTAGATGGTGCAAGCCTATCACAATTGTAGACTCCTGCATGTTTCATTTTCACCCTGCGAGTCTTGATTGCCTATTTCTGTCAAGACTGTTTGCATCATAGCAGTCTTTATTTCATCGAGCTTGAATTTTGCAGTAATCAACCACATATGGATGTGGTTATGTTTCTGACCCCTCCTGACCCTCTGCATGGATTTTAATGGAGACAAATGTTTGACAAAAGTACTGTGCGACTGCCACATTGCCTCCACAGAGCAATAATAAAAAGACTTGACACAATAAGTAAATGCAAGATAAAACTAAAAAAGTATCTTGCACAGAGAAATTAAAGTGTCATAAAAGCAAAGCAGTACAATATTGAATTACATCAGACAGTTTAGGTTAATTAAAAGGGACAGATTTTTGTACACTGATGAAAAGACTGGAAACAAATGCTTTTCAATTCACTCAACACCTCTCCTGAAACATCTTCACGAAGGTACAGCTATAGTTGTTGCAGGGAGGAGGCACTGTGTGTGTGTTGTACGGTGTTTCATGATATTGGGCCCATCTTTCTTTTAAGCAATTCGCTTTGGTGAAGTCAAAGTAACTGTGGGATGATTAAATGTGTGTGTGCAGTCAAATTTAGGCCGAACATGGAACTGACAGGAGCTGATGAGGTGAATGGTGTAGTTTGATTCAGCCAATGCAGTGGCTGTGTCATAGCATTATATTTGTTTTATTGGATAACTGCAGAAAATGTTTGGTGAGGCCGACATTCATATCTCTGTATATGAGACTTTTACATGTTTAATCTCTTGACATGGTATTAATAATAATATGATTTCCAAATTAAAAAAAACAATGCAAGCAAAATGATGTGTTGGATTTTTTATTTTAAAATTGCTGTTAATTCTTTTTTTTTTTTTTTTTTTTTTTTTAAACATATCTATTATGGTGAAGTACTGGTCAACACAAAAACAAGTAGTCACTGTTGTTGGAGACTTTCTCAGAGATAGTTCGGTTGAGGATGACAAGTTCATTGTGTTGCACAATGCCATTTTCCCCCGAAATATCTCTTACATTATTTAGTGTAGAGTCACAACTGCATTTTACTACAGTACATGTGGAAATCTGTGATTTGATTTTGCACAGGAGATCACTGTATAATGACAAATTAATATAACTGTATAGACCTAATGAAACCACACGCTTAATGAGTCATTATAGCAGTAATAAAGAGCTCACCTTTTTGGATGAGGTTAAGTTTCTCATCCTGTATCTTTTGCAAAACCTCTTAATGATGTTCAGCACTTCTTCCGTCTTTAATGAATATATTATAGGATTGAGGAAAGCTGGTATGGTGTGTGTCAGAGAGGAGTTTATGATCCTGGCATTGGGATGGATAGAGGAGGTCAGTGAAGCTAAGTTGGTGCCCACTAGTGGTAGATAGAAAATAGCCACAAGAATCAGGTGAGAAGTACAAGTTTTAAATGCTTTGAGTCGTTCCTCTCCTGATGCAATCCTGATCAGTGCTATGGAGATGCAAACATATGTCAATGCTATCAAAACAAGTGGAATGAAGATGATGATAGTGATAGCGATGAGTGATAGTATGGAATTCAAAGAAGTGTCATTACAGGCCAGATGATACACTGGTCCATGATCACAGAAAAAGCTCTTCACGACCAAAGATCTACAGAAGGAGAGACGATTAATAAGCGCAACAGTAAATCCTATTAGGCTCGATAAACACACCCACGCAAACAGCAGCATTGCAGCAATAGCCGGTTTAGTCACAATACTATGGTATCTTAAAGGGAAACAAATTGCTATAAATCTGTCATATGCCATTGTGACAAGTGTCCACGACTGCATACTTCCAAAGAATAAAACAAAGAACATATAACTTAAGCAGGCCTCATAGACAATGTATCTCCTGTCAAACAAAAA